ACGAGTAGAGTAGACTGTGTTTCTACTATTACACCTGTAATGTGATTGGATACGAGTAGAGTAGACTATGATGTTTCTACTATCACACCTGTAATGTGATTGGATACGAGAAGAGTAGACTATGTTTCTACTATCACACCTGTAATGTGATTGGATACGAGAAGANATGTTTCTACTATCACACCTGTAATGTGATTGGATACGAGAAGAGTAGACTATGTTTCTACTATCACACCTGTAATGTGATTGGATACGAGAAGAGTAGACTATGTTTCTACTATCACACCTGTAATGTGAAACTGATGGAAATCTGATCCATGGATATTCGAGACGATGCATTCCCATTTTGATTGATTGCGGTTTTCGTTCAGCTCGTTTTCCTTGAAGACTGATGTGGTTGTGGTGTTTTGATGGATGACTCCGTCTCGTACCCAGGCCACAAAGGGTTCTGGGTAACCAAATACAGGACACGTCAAAGCGGTTGGGAGTCCTTGAACCACGGTGGGGCCTGGCTGATCAATATCTATGATGGCTGAAAAAAACAACAACGAAATCAATTTACAAATTGAAAATGAATAGACAAAAGCAAAATGAAGCGTGCAATATTTATCAGGAGGTATTTTAAAAAGGTGTTTTGATACAGATACGTGATCACCAAACTGAAGTTTTTCAAATCATCTCGTTGCCAATGTTCTTTTTGAATCATTTTTCGAATCTATACCAGTTATTGCTCTTATTGGTTTGAAGTTTGTACTAATGTACATTTTTTTAACGTTTAAGTTTTCAACGCAAGAAAATGGAGAAAAATTGGAAATTGTAAAAAATAAAAATTGATCACAAGATCAGCAAGGAAATAGTTGACCAAACTTGCACAGTTTAAAAACAAGAGCAACAACAACATTTTAAGATATTTATGACGTAATTTTATTCGATAGTAGTTTTTTAAACCGAGTGCGCGCGCGCAAAAGCGATTAACAAAACTGAGAGTATAAAATGTTCGTGCGATTTTCTCCAAATCTAACATAAGAATTTCTTTAAATCTTTGATATTTTGTTTGGATTCTTAGAAGTTAACAGTTTTTCTAGATAACATTTTAATATGCGCAATTTTATTTTTCCCAATTTCCGATTTTTCTCTATTTTTTGCGTTGAAAGCTTTGATTTTAATAAAATGTATATTAGTACCAACTTCGAACCAAGAGCAATAACTGGTTTAAATTCGATAATGATCCCGCAAACAGAACATTGTCAACGCGATGATTGAAAAAGTTCAGTTTGGTGATCACGAATCTGTATCACAACACTTAAGGGTTGAAAGACTATAAGAAAAAGGGGACTATTAAGAAAAGTCTTCAAACTCGACACATTTTTTGGGAAATGTTTCGCAAAGCGCCAGCATATTATATGCTGGATCAATGCCAACAAGAGAGAGACATAGCGGGTCTCGCTGAATCGTTACTGGCAACCCCAAGGCTTTTTGGAGATTTTTAAAGACTAAATAGTCTAAATCCTTTCTTCCTGACGTCTTGCAACGAGGATTTAATAAATTATCTTCCGCTCAAAAAAAAGGAGATTTAAATTTTCACTTCGCCGATGTCTTCAATGCCAATCTTTAATCCCGCTCCTCCTTTTGCTAATCTAGCGACATCTAACCAGCTGCATTCTATTTCTATGTGATCGACCGAGGTCGAAAAACTTTTCTCAGGACTATTAGGACAGGCTWATTTGAAATAAAACCTAGGTTATTATGATTGCTTTTAAAATGTTCTGGGCTCAAATTTATCATTCCAATTTGAAACACAAATTGTAAATAGAAGAATAACTGATTCTACGATTCTTTGTCATTTAAACAATTTGTAAGCTGTGATAAATCAAATTTTCTTCCAAGCGTAAGTTTGAAAGAAAACAATTTATATTATTATATACCAAGTGTCAAAGTTCAATTTTCCTCAATTTCTATTGGTCGAGAGTGTGTCACAGAAAGCAACACATTTGAGCGCGCGTTTGCAAAATTCATTTACACGTTTCTCAAGGGCGCCAGGACAGACGGATTGGGTTTAAATATGTGTGATTGTTTCAATAGACAGGTCTATTTTACTGTACTGAAGGTAAATTTGATTAACTTATTAGAGGAGAGTAATCGCTAAAGAAGCGACGCCGGCGCTGCTTGGCACGGATAGTGCAGCGGTAAACACTCAGAGCGTATACTCGGTCCGCCTCGTGAAACATCAGCGGTTTCGGGACCACAAAACATACTGTTTCCCTCGGTCCCAGTAAATAAGTGTTAAATATTCAATAGCTAGTCATGGAATACCTTTGCTCTCGGAATAAACTTCAACTTCACAGAGTGTCAGTATTCCCATGTGAATCAGCCTGATGTTGACATAGCGCCCAGTCTTTCTCGGCTTACAGTAGAAGGACTTTTTGCTGAGAGTTTCCATGGTGTAAATGCCTCCACATCTGGGGTTAGAGTTACCATGATAAATCAGGCTGTCACCTGTTCAATAAAACGTTACAATACTACCTCGTTATCCTCATTTCGATAATCATTGAGGTAGTGTGAGATTGAGGGTAAAATTCCTAAAATACACAACACCTTAGTATAAGTATAAGTTTGTTTAGATTACTACCGAGCTAATGAGGTTGAGATGAGTCATGGCCATCCTTTCCCACTCATCATAGAGTACCGAAGTGATGACGTCACAAAATATCATTTTCACTGTATTATAATTTCCATCCTCGATTTTGATAGGAAATCAAGAAAGACGTTAACACGCCAAATTTCAGGAGAATTGGTTGAATAGCAACAGAGATACGGCCGTTTGAATATATAATTTACTTATACAAATCTGTATTTTTGCCCTGGTTCATTGGAAATTATATATTCAAACGGTCATATCTCCGTTGCTTTTTAACCGATATTCTTAAAATTTGGCTTGTTAACGTCTTCCTTGATGTTCTATCGAAATTGAGGATCGAAAAAAGCAAAATTTTGTTTTTCGTGACGTCACGTAATGATACTCTATTTGGAGAAGCACCGATATATTTCCAAAATATTGTTCTTCGCAGCCAATGTTCACCCAGCTCTCTCTCAGTTGGCTCACAGCATTCATAACTTGAAATACCCAACCCTCCCCCCCCCGTCTTAAGGAGAAGTCAGTTGGGGTCCTTAAGGTGGCTCGACCCCCTCACGCTTGACCGCTACCTTCCACTTTTGGAACGCTAGTGCATAAACGTCTTTTATCCTATTGCAAATCTTTTTTGCACATAAGTCACATAAAGATTGAATTAATGTTTGATGCAGTTTTTTATGAGATCGGACGTCATA